CATGTGTACAAGTGGGCTGTTAGTATGTTGACCTTCGTAAGTCAGTGCAGGTGTATGGCAGTAGCTGGGGAGTATATTACAATATACTTCAGGGTCCTGATGACATGCTAAAGCTACAATACAGTCTCAGTGGTTGAATAAATCCCCAGCACAAACTATCTGTGGGTCTAGCTGAAATGGCTCTTCTCAGTGATGATGTACAGGATATTAAGAAGCAGACAATTTGCATCAAGACTGCTGTAGGCAGTTGTCTCCACAGAATTAAAGAGTTGGAAGTGCCTCCACAAATGACCTAAAATTAATTAATCTTGTGAAAATGAACTGAAAACAGTTCTTTTCACAAGATTAATAGTGCTAATGAAATGATGTGGCTGTCTGACAGGCAACGTTCCCCTCAGAAAAGGCTGGGATTGTAGATACATATTACATGATGCCCAGAAGTGGTTGCATTATAGAGAGGAGAAAATATCACTAGTAAGTATTTAGTTAACACAGAGATGAGCATTGCATAGACAGAAAGGGAGAAGGATCGCTAGGCTAGAAGTTAATATTAATAGAGTTGTGTGAGGTGTAGTAGCAGAGCAGTAATAGTCTCTTGCTACAGAGAGGTGGGGGTAAACCTTTCTCTGGACTTGTGCTAAAGGTCCCCTCCCAACTGACCTAGCTTTTGTGTACCTAGCCATATGGGCTTGGGAATCAAAGGCAGCTGGATGGGATGTCAGCTACATCACTCCTATGTGTGCCATTGGCTATAGAATCTGATACACCTTAACCATGCTAGCCTGGTATTTTCGGGGAAGATCGTTGCCTTTTGTTTTATCACTAAAGCACTAATGTGACTACTACCTAGCAGCATCTTTGAACTGAATATATGGTAGTCTGAGATGTTTGTTGTTTTTTTAAATAGTGGTTGTAGTTGCAGAAATGACTAGAAAATTAGCACGAGGAACTCTGTGTCAAGGAGTCAAAATTACCTCATGGGTGGTTTAATAAATAGTAGCAACTGGTATAACCTGGGACCAATTATAGCTCTGCATTCATTGGTCATATATTAGCATAAAGATCTCATAAGTATTTTGGATAAACATAACCCCTATAAATATCACTGGTAATCACTTCTTTAAATGGGACATGTCTTTTAGCATATTTCAGTTGCATAAGTTTTCCTGGCTATTCTTCTTATTCTTGTTACCTCCAGAAAAACCATGAGTCTGAAATCTCAGTTGGCTTTGCATGACAAACCCTGTTCCCTTATTGATCCACATGACATTTAACCAGCCAAGTCCTTTTAAAGTTGGTAGGCATATGCAGATTTGTCCTTTGTGTACTATTGGGAGATTAAACTTCTAAAAGGTAAAGATTCTGCACTGTCTGAAGCTTTGAATGTCAGAGAGACCAGTGTACGTTCCCTGATACAGGGTGGAATGACTTGAGGTGAGAGAACCAAGTACTGGGCTGCTTCAGATCCACATAAGGGCAGAGTTATATTTACAGTACACAAGCTGAAAAGGATAATGCCTGGGGGCTTTCCTGAGCTGTCAGTTCCATTTCTGTGAAATAGCCTGTCCCCTGCCCTGAACAAATGTGATTATGCTCCTGTAATATGGGCTACAAATTGGGTTAGGTTCATTGTTTAGTACTGACGCAGGGTTATGTGCCCTGATGAGAGCAGATGCTGTCACTTTAAGTGGTTTCTGGGAATTAACACAAGTGGCTTTGGGGCTTAGATACCTACCGAGAAGCCATTAAAAAATATTTAAACAATAAGGCGCTGTCTACTAAGCAAACCATTACTTAAAACAGTTGAACTCATGTACTGAATGCATATAATCACTGATCAAAATGGCACATTTTTAGAGTGGTTATGGAAAGCGTGTTTGTAGCTTAGCTTAACATGTCTTATGGTATTGACTTCAAAGTATTGCATCTTCTGCTGGCTAAACTGAGCAATAATCTTTCTCACTTTAATTGTCTCTTGCTAGTCACTGACACTCCTGTTCATAACAGCCCACATACCTAATCATAATGCACATGGGTAAGGAAACACAATTCTGACTGTGTGCAACCTTAAATTTCTCCTTTCCTTAGCTGTGTGCCTGGGTAACTTGATATTTCAAACATTGTTCTCCATGTGTAATTTGTGTAGGTGTCCAAACTTAATCCCATTTTCATAAGGGAGCCCCTCTTCCCCCTGTGTACATCCATGTATTTCTACCCAGAATTCAACTGAACATGAAAGTCAGAGAAAGTGTGATCACTCTGGCTATTTTTCATTCATCTGTGGGTAGAAGACCTAACTGCACACTGAATTCATCACAAAGAAGACCTGGTCAAACCTTTTTAAAATGTACTGTAACATTTATTTGAAGCCAGGCATTCTTGACCTTGAGAAGACCAGCTTCCACAAAAATAGGGATAGAGGGGCTCAAACCATCTTGCACTTCTATTTCTAAGTCTGATGAGCCTTGGGTGCTAACATGTTTCATAGAAGTGCTAGGTGGGGGAGCAGTGGGGGCGGGGGGAGGAAGAATACGTGTTAGAATGGCTCCACCAACTTTTGATTGCCTGTTTGCTTGTGACACAATGTTTATAGCAATTAAAGTCATTAGTGTCATTGCCACCACAGAAAAATTCGAATGGCAGAAAAATTCTGCTCCAGGCTGCTAGATTTCATGATTTTACGCAGCTGCACTAAGTCACGTCTACCACATGCCAGACAAGTAGAGGATTATTCACTAGGTTTACTTAAACTGGTTATCACTATGGTATGTGAGCACTTTCCATAAAGCACAGACACAAAGTTATCTCCTTCTCCCAGCCCTGGCAACAGGAGCAAGCTTTAATATTATTGTTGAGCACACATGCCATACAGCTGCAGATTTGTTTTGTGAGGGTTAATGCAGAGCAAAGAGAGTGTGTTTGCACTTATTTATGCCTTAAATTCTGCTTTTAATCACCCCGGCCACTTAACTGTCTGGGCAGAAAAGGACTTGGGTGGTTCTCTGAAATTTTTTGGACAGTTTTGATGAACTGTAAGCCTCAATAACCAGAACTGTAGATAGCAAAAGAAGTAGCTGCTTGGCTTTGTCCCACACTATGCAGGAACAACTTAGCAGTGTTTCCCAACCTTAGGACCCCTTTTGAAACACAGAGTGAATCAAGACTCTGCTCAACCCCACCATGCATTTTGAAAAAGGTGCCCATAAATTAGATCATCACAGCACGGCAAAATCTCCCCTTTCCTATAAGCTTTTATGAGCAGTGCTATACTGACTGACATTGACCTTTAAAATACTGTTGCTGGCATCCGAATTAGCTGGTCAAGACATGTCCTTAAAGCCTTTTTCGGGTAAACAATGGACATTCTTTCCAAAGGCCATTTTCCCCTTCTTCCCCCACCCTTCATTTAATGAATTTCCTTTTAAAATAAAAGCCAGCTCTTGTTTTGGAGAGAAAAACGCCTTGGCTTTATCTTGACTGGCTTAATATGTTTACATTATGCTCTTCATATGTATTAGAATGTGCTAGTTATACACATACACATGTGAGCACACACATGTACAAACACCTCAACACATATTAATATAACATGGTTGTGTGTGTGTGCATGCATGTATGTTTATGCATGTGCACACTCAAAATACATAGACTCAAAATCCCCAGTGCAGACTTCCTCAAACTTTGGAAAACCTCTGTAATGCATTTATTAGATAGGTATCGTCATGTTCTGTGGCTTTGACATCCTAAAACACCTGCATTCTTTCATTCTTTGATGTCTTTATGACTCTCCATTTCTCACTTGATAATTTTCTTTGTTGGAAAACTTGTTTCTTAAACTTTTGCCTTTTTTTTGGCTCTGCAGTTTTGTGCGACTCTGGGAACCACGGCTTGCTGCTCCTTTGACAAACTGCTAGAGCTGGGGCCTATTTGTAAGTGGTTGTCTGCTGCTTCTTTCTAAAATGTAAATAACAGTTAGCTAGTCCTGCTGACTCATTTCCAGGGTGTTGTGTGGCATTGGTTCCCAAATGCAATAACTCTGTCTATAATAAATCTTTCCCTTACAATTGCTTTCTAATATTGTTTCAAGAATCTAACTTGTGTTTTCAGGCCAGATCACCAAAGTGGAAGCAGACTATATCTTCAAGGGATAATGTAACCTCTTTTGTGCCAAAAAGTATTAGGGGGTGGCAAAAGGTTGAAGTGTTTCACTGTGCAGCTTTTCTCTCTCATCCATTTTGCTTGTGTCAGAACCTCCCAGGAGCAAGGAAAAACAGAATTTTACTGTTTTTTACTGACATTGATAGCCCCTGTGTTGCTTGCACTCTTTCCCTTTGGTTCCTGTGACTGTAGGGAAGCAGAGAGGTAAAGACCAACCCCCTCACTCCTTCTGCCCTATGGTCACCAGGGGTTGGCACAGGGAGCTGTACTAACTAGATGGGATCATTGACTCCTGCTGCAGTGTTGTCAAATTATGGTGAGCTCTGATCTTGAATGATGATTGGTATGAAATGCATTTTTTGCTGCATACCTGTGTGACAGGTAGTTGCATTTTAGTTTGGGTAGTAGCAGTACATCTGGAACAGTGACTCTCAACCACGGTGCTCCCAGGTCCTTTGAAGGCTGCCATGAGATGTGAGGAGATAAACTGTGCAGATAAGCTTGTCCCTGCCTGGATGATCCCCCAACCCCACTGCCCGGCCCCTGTGTAAGGATGTAAGTATTGTAATATATAAATTCATTTTGGAGATTGAGTGCTTCTCAATTAATGAAACTTATGGAGGAGTGCCTCAAGTCCGTAAGGTTGAGAACCACTGATCTAGAACAGCTTGTGCCTACAAGAAGACTGAGTGTGCAAACAGGAGTAAGAATTGTACTGATAGCACAGGATATTGATACCAGCTGTTACGCTCTACCTGTTCTGTCCTCAGGGTTTTGTAGTGCCACAAGGGTAACTAAACCATCCCAACTTTAGCTCTGCTTCATTCACAGTCAAAGCTGGGGTGATTTAGCTACCTTGTATTGCTACAGCAGATGCATCAAACTCACTTGGCTCTGAGTAGCACGGGACTGATCCATGGGCCAGATGAATGGCACAGGGCCAGCCCCAGGGGTCAGATCAGGCCCACAGACCCCTTGCCTCCCCTGCATGCTGGATCCAGTGCCTACAGCCTTTGCTCCATGTGGTCTGGACTGCACTGCATGTGGCTCTCTCTTTCTGGCTAGATCCAGGGTATGTGCCTCATGAAGCATGGGTCCTGGACTGGCTGTAGTGTGCACCGGATCCAGCATATGGGGGACCCATGAAGCCCACACTCTGAGATACCAGACCCAGTGCCTGCTCTGGCTAGTCCCGGACTGTGCCACATTCAGTGCTCGCTCTGTCTGGGGCAGGCCCCACACACAGCATTATCCTGTAGTAGTGGGTGCAGCAGGCACTAGATCCAGCATGCGGAGTGTGGGAAGGGGTACCCAGATTGGCTTCACATGGGGATAGCACTGGGGGTTAAACAATGTGGCTCTGTGGACTCAGGCCATATCTTGAATACCCATCTACTACAGGCTCATGTAATCATAGAGAAGTAGGACTCGAAGGAACCTCCAGAGGTCATCTAACCTATCCCCTGCCTGAGGTAGGATCATCCCCATCCAAACCAGCCTATGCAACCTACTGTCTAACCCAGGGGTGTCAAACATAGGGCCAGTGGTGCTGCCCCAGACCCACACAGGGCACAGTGAGTACCTATGGCACAGGGCTGGTCCATGGGCTAGTTTGGGTCCATGGACCCCCTCCCCTTCCCCCCATCATACCTGATCTGGCATGCAGATTGGCCCCACATTACTGATCAACCCCTGGTCTAACCTCTTAGCAAAACTACCCAGTCAACCCTGACACAGAACAAGACTTAACGCCCTAAACTGCTACAGTTAAAGCAGGAGGATCATGATGGCCAGTGTCCTGCTGCTATAGAAGTGATTAATATGTGCTCAAGAGAACCAAGGAAGAGGGCCATGCCCCCAGCAACAGAGGAAAACAAAGATCCCCAGAGTTCATAGCAATCTGACCATGGGGTAAAATCCTTTCCTGGCCCCAAATATGGAGACTGGTCTGACCTGGAGCTGAAGGGCAAAAGCCTCTGGGTAGGAACCTCCAGGTTTAAGTAACAGCAGGAGCACTGGCACATCCCAGATGGACAAATTACATTGCGGCAGCTGCTGCATGCTCCTGAGCAGCAGTTTCCCCTCCATTTTAAAGCAGCTAAAATGTGCATTTTTCCACACTCTGTATATTTTGTCTGGTGAAATGACATTTCAAGCATCCTGGAAGAAGTTAGTGGCTCACTGGGACATGAACATCTGGAATTGTCCTGATAAAACCAGGATGAGATTTGATGTTTTCTTAAGGCACCAATCACATAATATGCATAGTAAATTTACAGGAACTAAGGAGCTACATATGCTGAAATAGTTTTGCATGAAGCACTTAATGAATAACTTCAGCTAGCAAATTCCTAATATGTGACAGTTTGTTCACATACAAGGCTCTTATTTCTCAGCATTTTTTATTCATATATTTATTTTTCTATATTGTTAGAAATAGTTCATTTAGCAGCATAAGTGTCTCCGAAAAATGGTGCCAGATAAGAATCTGCTGCTCTGGAGCACTCAGAAGCTAGAATTTTAATTCCAAAAGTTGAGAGATTTTGTTTCTAGAAATTAATGCATATATGTATGTCAGTAGATTTTTTTTAAATATGTATTTTTTAATGTTCTGCACATGTCATATTTGAAAATATCGTGTTATGAATGAATAGTTATTCAGAACACTGGGTGCTTCTTAGTCCCTTGGTCTTATATGAAATGACTAATGATAAAACAAAGTCTTTGCTTATTTGTCTTTCTTTTCTCAGGTAATAAAGAGAATATCTGGTTGCATATTGATGCAGCCTATGCAGGGAGTTCTTTCATCTGCCCTGAATTCCGGTATCTTCTAAATGGAGTGGAGGTGAGTGGTGATATTTTTTTCTTATACCACCAAAAGCCCATGGATTTTAAATCTCTAACTTCCTATGACTATAACACTAATGCCTTTCCTGCTGTCTTTATGATAAAAGGACCAGGCTACTACCTGCCGTAGAAATTTGTTTTTCAAAATGGTATTGAAATAAAGTTGAATCAACCAAGCACTCTGGAGTGTGTTGTAGACATGGGGGGGTTGATTGTCCATGATAAGAACTTTTTAAAAGGGTAATCTTGATTTTTTAAAAAGTTGTAATAATTAACATCTGCTTTCTTATCTGCTCATCTATTTACATACTCAGGGACGGGACATACAGAACCAACCTGTAGCTCTATCTACAGCAGTCAGGGTTTAATAATAAAACGTTCGCTAGATGAAATTTTCTTCCAATGAGACGTCGGCTTCTTTTCTCTCCCTCTTCATGAGTTGCCTGGCACTTGGGCACTTAGATAAGCGTAGAGCAATTTCCTGAAGCTTCCCTCAGACTGTCAGATAAGTCCTTGTCTTCCACGTCAGAGGAGAAAATATCACTGTTTGGTAAAGCCAGAAGTTTAAACAGAATGGTACCGATAGGTAGAGACTAATAAAAAACCCTAACAAATAAAGCATTTTTTTTCTGTCTTTTTTATCAGCAAATGAAGCTTGCTGTAATTTCCTGTGTGGGTTTTTTTTTCCAATTACTTTTATTGGTTCCTAAAGGAAATGAATCAGCCTCCATGGTATAGTCCCGCATCTGTCAGGGTTTTAACTATTCAGTAGCTCTGAATAGGTTCCCTACCTCACACATCAATGGGTAAAATACCCTTTTACATGGCAGTCACCAATTTTTTTACAAAACATTGTGAAGTTATGAAGAAAGCAATGTGAGAAGTCAATTACAAAATGGGGCAATGAGGTGTGGGTGCCTTCCTGAGATTTGATCTAAATCTTGCCTTGCTCAGTCCTGTCCTTTGCAGCAAGGGTGCTCATTTTTTATCCCTTTTCCTTACACCAGCCTTTCAGATATTTGAAAACTGCCATGATATCCATCCTTAATATCCTTTTCACCAAAATAAATATACCTAGTACTCTCAGCCTCTCTTTGTACAGCTTGCAGCCCAACCCCTTTGTTATCTTTGGCTAGGTACAGACATTCAAAAAGCCTGATGCAGAAGTAATCAAAGCTACATGGGTTTCTGTAAACAGCATAGGTTAGTTTAGAAGCAAACAGAACATGCATTTGCCCTTTGGTCAGGGGGCATGCAAGCTGCCTGCACTGGCTGAGGCCAGCAGGTTGGGCCTTGCCTGCTGGAGGATGCCAAGCACAGCTAAGCAGGTGGGTCACCCCCAATCAGCTGCAGGGCCCATGCAGCAGAAGCCTCCATTTCCCACCCCACTACCCCTGCCTGGCTGCAGCTCACAGCTCACCACAGGCAGGAGGCAGGGCTGGGGACAAAGGCTTTGCTGACTCAGCTCTGTGAGAGCCCAGGGAGTGAGTGCTAGCACGACTTCCTGTGAGTGGGGGCTAACAAATGGGGTGCTGCAAAGATGCCTAGGATGCTGGCATACAGCAACCTAACGTGAATCAATTAGGGACCTGGTACAGAAGTCCAATGCACCAGTCTAACCTAAACCAATTAAGTTAGAGTGTACATTGATCTAGGTCTATCTTAGACCAGTTTCAACAATTTTTAAACCAGTCTATGTGCACTGAATTTCTGTTCTGCTATGGGCATAGACCAGTTTTGGGGCATTTATACTTGTTTACATGTAATGTCTTTACCTGGCCTTTATCTCTGCCTTCTGGATCATCTTTAGTTTCTCTATAACCTTAAGAGGTGGGCCCCAGAACTAGATCCAGTACTCTACTGTAGCTTAATCAGCACTGAATAGAGTGATACAATAACCTGACTCCCTCCTGTGCACTACATTTAATGCTTCTCTTAATCCGGCCCAATAGCTGGAGTGTTTTTTTGTGATAACTCACATTACTCACTCAAGCTGAGCTAGTTATTCACTATAACCTTCAGATCCTTCTCAGCAGTGCTACTGGCTAGGTCATTATTTCCCATTCTATATTGTGTGCAATTGATTTTTCTTCCCTAGGTGTGGCATTGGCATCTTAAAATTATTGTTGTTGAATATCATCATTTTGTGGTCAGCAGTTTAGTCCTCTTACTTCTTCTTATTGTTATTTTTAATTCTAAACCCATTCTCCAGGGTGTTTGCAGTTTCTTCTAGTTTCATGTCATCTGCAGACTTGATCAGGAAGCTCTCTATTCCTGCATCCAGGTCATCAAGAAAAATGTTAAACAGCATCAGATCGAGAAAAGACCCTGTGGAATGTCACTTGCAACCTCCTGCCAGTCTGGCCTTGATACATTTAGACTAGAAACAGATAATCCATTCATCCCAGGATATGTTGTATCCACATTTGTCCCAGAACAGAGCAATGTCCAGGCCTGGGATATGCACACTTACACAATGCTCTTCAGAGTTTGGTGAATTGCTGAATGCACTGTTGCTTTTTCTTTCTACATTAATTCAGTAATGCAGTCTTGGGACAAGTGTTCAGATGCACTTTGCAATGTTCCTGGATAAAATGTTAGCATCTCTTATCCCATGAACCTTTTTAGGATTTATCTTGGAAGAATGGACATGGGTATCTGAATGTTTTCACTTTGTCCTGGGATAAAATGGTTTATCTGGGGGGAAATGTGACATATGTTTGTAGCCTTATAGTTACTCTTTGCTTGCCATCATTCAGCCCATTATATATTCACATACCAGTAACTCTATCTAGCCCACACTTCTTCATTTCACTTATGAGAATGTCTGGTGGGATTCTTTTAAAAGCCTTATTCTACTAAGTATTTGGAGGGAGAAAAAAGATTTTTCTGACCAGCTATAATACTGCGACTAGTCTATCAATACAACATACCATTCCAGATCTAAATACATGGCATTTGTGTTTGGGTATATTGCATGTATTCAGTGTGTGTGGGTGCATGTGTATGCGTGTGTGTGTGTGTGTGTGTGTGTGTGTGTGTGTGTGTGTGTGTGTGTGTCAAGTCTGCAGATGAAACAAAACTAGAAGAAACTGGAAACATTCTGGAGAATGGGGTTAGAATTTTAAAAGATTTTAATAAATATACACATCAACACTGATATATGAATCTCAAAATATGTATAATATATATAAATGTATGGACCATATAATACTATATATTACATTATATATTGCATATATATTATATTACATTGTATTTATAATTATAAAATTCATGTTTCAGTCTGTGAATGAGTGAATTCTAGGACATCTTTATTAGAAAACGAGGTACAATTACAATGATATGTTGTTTATATTAAGGTAGAGATGTTTTTATGTAGACTATATAAAAAGAATGCAAACATGTTAGAACACTATTGTGAAGCACTTTGGAATAGGAACTTAAGTTGCCCAGGCAGCCTGAATTTTTAACATTGTGCATAGGCTCATGCTCATGCTTAAACTCAGCATAGGCTTATGCTCATGCTTAAACTCAGGAAAAAGTTTAAGCATGAGCATAACTTTAAACATGCAAGTAGCTCTGCTGACTGTTAAGGTTTATATGACAATGGGGTGGTAGTGTTTGCTGTAGTCGTCTACAGACAGCTACATGTCAACCAGTATGCATGTACAACTCTCATTTGCTTTAAATAGAGTTACATTATGATTGAAGGTGCAACTGGGGAAACTGGCAGCGCTGCTATAATATGACACTGAACGTTTTCCTAATGCCTTTTTTCTTCTTTTTATCATGTCAGTATGCCAATTCACTTAACTTTAACCCTCACAAGTGGCTCCTCATCAATTTTGACTGCTCTGCTATGTGGTAAGTATTATGGAATATGGAAGGTTATCAGTGATCCTGATCTTTGTGGGAAAGCACACTGTCTCCCCAAGGCTAGACATTCATTCTGGTTGTATAGATGCATGGAGTTTTGACCAGTGCTATAAACTGTGAATTATTCACATCAGTCATACTCTATCATTAACTGAGGTTGCAGAAGGCTAGAGATGGCTCTGAGCCCTGAAGTCTGGCTCCAGAAACAGAAGTTTAGAGTATTCAGATCTGTTCCATTCTGTACTCAAAATGTATGTCAACAAGACAAAGTGCACACTAAGTCAAGCTTCTTTCTCTGTCTCACTTGGCCTTTCTCAGTCTGAGCCTTGGTTATTTGTTATAAAAGCCATTGTCATGGCACCCAATCATTATAATACCAATAGACTGGGAACAATGTAATTAATAAACAAGTTGGTAAATTTAATTTCAAAATCGTTCTCATTGTTCATGTCTAAGGACAGATATGGTATTTTATGTTCCAAAGAGGGTCCTTCAGGACCAAGCACAATATCAGCATCTCATAGACACAGATCACATCATTACTTTCATTATCAAAATAACTGGCCAGGAAACTTTAAATATTTGCATTTAAATGGTCCAAAAAAAGGGAAAAAAGCCCTTAAAATTCATTTGATAATAGCTTAGTTTGCAAACATTAAAATCTTTATTGGTTTGTTCATTGTTAAAAACATCTGAAAACTTTTAAAAGAAACTGAAACTTAATGCTGAAAAGAGCTTCCCATCAATATTCACCCTCTCATTTTCTCCTAATCCAAGGTATTTCTCATACGCAAAGCAGTACTAAACCTGTATGTCTATATCTGCACCCTCTGGTAGACTTTAAATTCTCCAGGTCACAGTGCCCTACTACGAACATATTTTTCCTATTTAGGTCAGTTGGTAATGGGTATTTTTACTCTGCCTCATGTGTAGTGATAGTCAGTCTCAGTAGACCAAGATTACTCTGTGGCTTAGCCTAGTCCCAAGAGTATAATTATCTCATGATGAGATGTCTCTATGGATGTGTGTAAGGGGGGGAGGGGAGAAAGATGGAATTCCTTTACTAACTTCCCCCAATTCCTACTCATAACTCAAAGAGCCTAGTGTCAGGGAAGCCACTGATGGAGTGAGGAAATTAAGCATCACAGACATCCATCATATATTTTAATGTGCTGCAATTTAGAGGACATTTAGGCCTTGGGTCCCATCTGCTGCCATTAGTACTTTTTGAAAATCTCCCCTTAATTCTAGACTCTGCCCCAAATTAAGTGAGAGGCAAAGATTTTTTTAGAGTGATGTCTGTTATTGAGCCAACTATGTAACTGGAATTAGAATTAGACAAGGTTTTGAATATAAGATATTCTTTGTCAGGCCTCTGATCAATGTCTCGCATTTGAAAGCTTGTCTGATTTTATCCTTACTACATAGTTTGTCCAATAACAGCTATCACCCTGAGAAATGCTTTCCTCACACACAATTTCTCAGCTATCACAGCTACATCATTGCTCTTAAACTACTTAAATGTATTTTTAAAAATTACAAAGCTTTTTGTTGAACTGTACTGCTTTCCACCTGTCAATGTCTAGATATTTTAAAAAGTGTGGGTGTATGTATGCGTGTGTGTATGTGAAAATAATTACTATAAAAGAATGTACTCAGCAGTCACAGGAACCTTACATTGGGAAATTTCAGGCTGTTTGCTTTAAATTCTTCACTTTGCATCTTGGACATTTTGAATGTAAGTTTAAACTGGATTTCCTAATTGTGTATTTGTGTGAATTTTTTGGGCAACAGATAAATTCTGTAATAGGGTAGAATTTCCTAGATAGCATTGAACAGTTAATGCGTAGTAGCGCTTAGATTTGTCCATAATAAACCCTTTGGTAAAATCTTATGGAGAGAGACTGGGCTCCTCCTGGATTCTAGTTGCGTGCTGACTCTGGCCTTAAAATTGATAAAGAATACACAAGTGTATCCTAGGCTCCTACATCTTGTTCAGGCAAGGGTGTAAGGGTTCTGCATGTTTTGCCCAAGGGTGATACTCAAAGTTTGGACCTTCAAGCCCAGTGGCTTGGTTTTCTACAGTAGGGGTAGCCAACCTGCAGCATGGGTGCCCCAAGTGACATGAGCAGTTTCTATGAGGCATGCAGCAGATTGAAGAAGAAGCAGATGGGCAGGAAGCAAAGGAGCAAATTGGGCAGGGGGCACAGGGAACGGAGCAGAAATCAGACCAGCAGATCAGGCAGAGAAAGGGGATCAGAGTGGTACTTGAGGTGAGTATGGGGTGAATTTGTGAAATGTCTGCCAAAAGGGTTTGTCCCTACTGTTCTAAGGAGCTCAACATTGGCAGGTCCCATTGTGGGGAATGGGTGCTAAGCAGCTCTAAAAATCTTACCATTTTCATTTAGGGACCTGCTTTAATGAACCCTTCTTTGAAATATTTTGGCCTGTGTAGCCTGCCCTTTCCTGATCAATATTTTCCTTTGGGAAAATGGGACATAGAACTGCTGCCTCAGATGTGTTTCCATCGGTAGAGTGGGAAACCATATGTGCTGGGTCTATGATTAGGCCAGTCTGTTTCCTCCTGTTCCTGGAGCCAGCAATTCCCTTGCCCTCTTTGAATAGACCAGTTCTATCAATCTGACATTGTCATTACTGTAGTAGGCCAGTTGGCATCAAGAAATAGAAGAATTGCTCTGGGCAGATTTATAACTCTGTAAGCACAACCCCCTTCTCCTGCTCCTTTGTTACACTGTGTGCCCCTAGTGAGAGCCACACTTATCTGCTCATCATAAAACATAACAGTAGTTCCTAACTCATTGGAAAGTCTTGGGGGAAAAGACCTCCACACAGAAGAGCAACCGTTGTTCTAAGTATGGCAGCACATGTACCATTAATAATCCTGCTTTATTTTCCTCCAGTAATTTGAACAATTTCCTTATTCGCCTGCTAGATTACTGCTTTGTATTGCTGGTCACACTCATTCATTATCTGCATGGCAGCAGGATGATTTAACCTTGATAATGTTTCCTTTCTGAGTAAATGCTCTATATCAGTCGCCTTCTCTTCCTCCTCTTCTCAATAAATTGCCTTTACGACATACATGGTAAATTGGCAGGAGTGGAAAAACACTACTGAGACAATCCAGGTCTCCTAAACTCATTGTAAAACAATTATAGAAGGTTCCTCTTAAGCCAAGATTGATTTCTTGCTGTAAGTAGCCTTATTAGGCATTTTTTTCCATTAAAGGTGTTTATGTTGATACACACAACACAAATGCACACAGGGCTATTTTTTTACCTGTCTATAGAATTTGGCAAGGCATTTAGGCTAAGACAAAAAGCCAGAGGCTGAACCAATTCAGTCTTTGCAGGTTAATCTAAGCTGCAATTATTGAACCAATAAGCAAATGAACAGACATTCACTTTTGTTTCAGGAAGTGCAGCCACACACGTGCAGTGACTCAAGCCAGAAGCCAGGGGGCGGTAGACCATGGCTTTCCAGGATGTAGCCAGCATGAGCTGCGTGTTCGCTTCCTCTTCTGGTTTGACCTTAACCAGTTAATTCTGATACTACATTCAGCCAGGTTTATCTTAAACCAATTTCAGCCATTTTGAAGCTGGTTTATGTGCATTGAACTTCTATTCTGTTACAGGTTTAAACCAGCTTCTAATCACTTAAACCAATCTGTGTGTAACTTGTGTCCCTAGCCTTATGCTGTAGTTAGAGCTATGGTATCTGAGCACTTCAATCCCAAAGCTTCAGACATACATACATTCCTACAGTTTAGTAATATGTCTGGTCTAAACCCAGAAGACCAGACGAGATAAAAGCTCTCATCAAATAGCTCTTCCTGAAATTTTTAAAATATTTCAACATCATTAAGGCCTCACTTCAGTGAAGTCCTTTAGCATATTCTTATAATCCCATTGATTTTAAAGGGAGATAAACATTTGCTTGATGTTAAACACATGTATAAAAGCTCTGCTGAACTCAGATCTTGAACTGCAGCCTAAACCTGGTCTAACTTCGAATGCTACCTCCCTCAGCACCTGTAATTCCACTGGGTAGAAGGATGAAAGATTAAATATAGTCATAAAGGCTAGAACTGAACCATTTGTCTCCGAATGAACTGAAAGGAACTTAATCCCAGGGAAGCTAGTATCCTTTAGAAATCCCTACTATATATAAACTTAAATTGTCAAAAGGAATATAAATGATTTAGGAGCCCAGGTCCCATTGAGGTTCAATGGCACATGGGCTCTATGTCACTAAAACACTTACCCCCAATATAAATGCTGCCATTTCTTTTCTATGCAAGGTGATTGTGTCAATCTAATCTTATTGCTGTAGTAATACTTTGGTAATAAATAATCTAGTAGTACTATCTAGCATAGGTAGGAGGCAATTTCATTATACTGCCAGCTTCTAGCTCCACAGAAAGGAATGGCTAATGGAGCCACAATAAGAGAGTATTATTTTCCATATCCAAATGGCAGGTATATAGCAACATGACAATACAGGTCAGCTGTGGCTTGGGCATCTGTTAACCACTTTGGTTTGTTCTGAAATAAGACAGGAATAAAATTTTGATTGTATTCAAAGAAGACAAATTACTTCAGGTTAATACCCAACAAACTGTTGGTTCCAAAGTAATTTTTTCTTTCTTTTTTTTTGGGGGGGGTATGGTTTATGATGATCTTAATGTACAAAAAAACTAGTTTTCTTTTGTTGAGGTTCACTGTGCATGCATTTTTAAAGGAAAGTGGCTTTTTATAGATTGAAATTAAATTGTACATGCATTTGCTCTATAATGTGAAGTAAGCACTTTGGTTATTTTCTTTATCATTAAAACAGATGATAATTGAGGTTGTTAAAAACTCTAGTTGCACAGTCAAAACAAAATAATCACTTTTCCTAATGATTCTCACTACTCTGTTCTCAGGAATCTTTTTTGTACTCTCAGTCTTATGAATTTTAATATGCAAGTAACTGACATGTTCCTTCTGGGAGGCCCAAGCTCCATTCCCTGCCCAGCCAATGATGTTCTGAGTGATGCTTAGCAAGTCATTTCACTCTGTGGGACTCATGGAGAGAATGTGCTCATTGAAGGTTCCACCAGGTTACTTGTCATCTAAAATTATTTTAATACAGTGGTACTCAACCTCTGGCCTGTGGACCAAATCCAGCCCAAGGGAACATGTCATCTGGCCCACAAGGCTCCTTACCAGTCCCAACATTTGGGAGCAGGGGATTGGTGGCAGCATTAATTGCCACAGCTTCCCCATGCTGGATCTGGCCTGTGGACTGACCCATGAGATCCAGCCCACAGACTGCCCTCCACCACTTACCCAGCCCATAGGGCCAGAAGTTGAGCACCACTGCTCTAGCACCACAGCCCACACTTCAAGAGGGACATAGAGAATCTGGAGATGGTTCAGAGGAGGGCCACTCACATGATTAGTGACCTCCTTTGAAGACCCTATGCAGGGAAGTTGAGGGATCTGGATTTCTTCAGCCTTCACAAGAGACGGCTGAGGGGAGACCTTGTAGCTGCCTATAAGTTTATCAAGGGGTGGGGACAACAAGGAACTGGAGAAGTGCTATTTACCAGGGCACCCCTAGGAGTAACTAGGAATAATGGGTACAAACTAGTAGAGAGGAGATTCAGGTTAGACATTAGGAAGAATTTTTTTACAGTAAGGGCGGCCAGAATCTAGAATGGGCTTCCAAAAGAGGTGGTACTACCACCTAACTTGGAGGTCTTCAAGAGGAGGCTTGACAGACACCTGACTGGGGTCATCTGACCATGGTCCTCTTTCCTGCCAGGGGCAGGGGGTCAGATACAATGATCCTTTGTGGTCCCTTCTGACTCTACAATCTATGAACTGATGAAGAAGTATCATTAACACCAACATTTATGATAGCCATGGAATGAATTATGGTTTGTGAGGCTAGAAAAGGAATAGCCTGCCCACCGTATCTATATCAGTGATAGAAACAGATGTTGAGAAGTGAGCTTGAGTTTTGCCACTAACCACTATTTATTTGTCCTTTCTCTTCAGAGTAATCCGTGTCTGTTCTTTTCATGCAGGGTGAAGAAGAGATCCGATTTAATAGGTGCCTTCAAGTTAGATCCACTTTACCTGCAGCATAACCACCAGGAATCTGGTACTTTTGTATTTAAAGAAGATGATCATTGTTTTATGCACACTTATTTTAAATGAAAAAAAATAGTTAAAGACTAGGGGCAACACTTTCAAAATCATCTCTGTCCCATTTCAAAAGGTGACTTAGCACCAGAGTCTCAATGGTTGTGAGCTTGCAAACATACAGATAGATTCCCAGTGAGATTTTTAGTTGATACAAATACAATGGTGGTTGGAAGATAATAATTTTATGATGTTCATACTTGGCAGTGGGATTTCTCCAGCTCTATACCAACCAAGAATATGTGCTGGGTTAATGTTTGTTGTGATCTGGATGTGATGATTCAATTGTGTAGGTGGCAGGGTAGATATGTGCATCTTTACAGACTAGTAAAATAAGATTTTATATACAGAGAACAACCTTTCGTGAACCTAAGTGCATTGCATAGGTCATTGGAGGGTGCTATACCTTGAATGCGCCTGGTCCAAATTTGAATCATCCATTTGAGCCAACAGTATGCTCTTGTTGCAAAGAAGGCTAACGGCATACTGGGCTGCATTGTCTGTAGACTGAAGGAAGTAATTATTCTCCTCTATTTGGCACTGCTGAGGCCACATTTGGAGTACTGTGTCTAGTTTTGACCCCCCAGTACAGAAAGAATTTAGACAAATTGGAGAGACTTCAGTGGAAATAGCTAGGGGGGTGGGACACATGACTTATGAGGTGAGGTTGAGGGAACTGGGCTTATTTAGCCTGGAGAAGAGAAGACTGACGCGGGAGGAATTTAATTGCAGTCTTCAATTACCTGAAGGGGGTTCAAAAGAGGATGGAGCTAGATTGTTCTCAGTGGTAGCAGATGACAAAACAAGGTGCAATGGTTTCAAGTTGCAGCAAGGGAAGTTTAGGTTAGATATTAGGAAAAACTTTTTCACTAGGAGAATAGTAAAGCAGTGGAACAGGTTACCCAGAGCGGTTGTGGACTCTCTATCCTTGGAATTTTTTAAGACCTGGCTAGAGCAAAACATGGCTAGGATAATATAATTGGAGATGGTACTGCTTTGAGCAGGGAGCTGGACTAGATGGCCTCCGGAGTTTTCTTCAAACCCTAATTTTCTGTGATTCTATTTAGGACACCAATTACTCTGTGCCTTATTCCCATTTGTCAGTGATTTCCTTAAAATAGGGGCCACGCATTTCAAATATATGTGCCCAAAACCAAGCTGCTGATTCCATATTTAGGCATCTCAATAAACATGTCTGGGTTTGTCAAGGTGCTGAGCATCTCCAGCTCCTGTTGACTTCAATGAGGTTTAGGGTTGCTCATCACATCTGAAAACATTTTTATTCAGTTCTCTAATTCTGGGATTTGGCATTTAGTAGTATGCCCCCAGCTTTTTAACCACTGCTTACAAGGTAAACAAAGTGACATTTTAAACCTCATTTATCTATCATTCAGGAATTTAAGTGAGTGACAAAATACATCTATCTGTGTGCAATTACTCTTAATAACCATGCTGCAATTATGTGTGCCCAAAAGGGGAAAATCTTTATTTTGTCGGTAATTATAATTCTGTGTGACTTCCATAGTCATGCCAAGAAGATTGTATGCGCTTGCCTGGCAACCCAGGATACAGGTCAAATCCAAATGGCAGCATTAGGAAATTACAGCTTTGTGAATACCACATGTGCTCCCACAATTCTGTTCCTCCTGGTTAAATACAGATGGAAGAGTAAGGCTTGTAATCACTAGGACAAGGACTAATCATTGATTGCATTATGCTCTACAGCTTCTGAAATGCGTTACTAGTGGATCATTAGGCGTAGACTCTTGCAGCGACATAAAGTTATGTGCTCGTCAGAGGTTGCCTTACTCTTTACTACCAGGCTTGCAACTATTAAACTAAAATGGTCATTGAGATGTAGAGGAAAATGGGCGTCATCAAATTACGTTGCTACTCAGCTGAGACCCATTTGGTCTTCCACTGAAGTCAGTGGAAGTCTTTCCCTTGACTATAATGAAATGAGTTTATTGTTGTTGTTAAAGCAGTCCTTAAGGGTCCTGCTGTCCTTGGTTTTATACAAATGTTCAGTAAAGAGACAGTCACTTCTCTCAAGAGCTTGGTTATGATTAGAAGGAACAGACTAAGGGTGGGTAGGATAAAGGTAAGATCAGGCAGTTATAATAAGGAATACATCCTTGTGCACCTAAGCTGTATACACAAACGTAGCTTGCCACTGCATTTGGTTGTCAGGTAAGAATGACACTGCAAGAAATACTTCCTTTTCCGATATAGATTATAAGAATGGTACATATGGCATGTAACTAGCCAGGTAAGTACATGTGATACAGCAGGGATATAGCTTATAGCCATGTTGTTCTAAGAGGTAGAAGTAGACAAAAATCTTGTGCTAGAGGTGATATCTTTTATTAGACCAACTAAATAGTGGCAAAAAATATATATTTCTTTGCAAGCTTTCAGGTCCAAACACGCTTTTTCAGGCAGAGGAGAGTGAACGTTTTTCATTGTAATCCAATTCAGGCAAGCACTGAGGCACATACTTAAGTCACATGGTCCAACTTACATGCATGGGTAAAGCAGAATAGAAGTAGTAGTGGAAGCAGTAATAAAGCTCAGCATGCACTTAAGTGCGTCTCTAAATAGGGATGGAATTAAACATGCCCCTTAGCACATTCCTGAATCAGGGGCTGGAACTGAGAGCAGAAGATCTGGGTCCTGTTCTTGTCTCTGTCACAGACTCACCACATAATCATATGCAAAACATTTAAGTTCATGTCTCAGTTTCCCCTTAATGTGAAATTAATTCAATTAACTGATTTGCAAAACGAGATACACCTCCTGACTCTCGGTAATTGAACAAAATATAGCTATCCATATTCTAGGCTTGCCTCACAAGGATGTTTTTTGGCTTTGTCAGTCAATGTTATAAAGAGCTTTGAACAAGACTTTGAGAAAAAACAACGGAGAAACGCCCAGCATTATCCTCTGAGTAGAGCTGATGTTTGATTATCATTTAGAGCTCTTAGCCCTCTGAGCGACAGACCTAGGAACAAACAGCAAGTGTCTGAATAAACACAGTGGAGTGGTTAGTAGCACAAAATCCCTCTTGAACATGTCTTTGATTCACCAAAGTGAAGACTGAGGAAACTTTATGACAGAGAACCTGTGATGAACCGGTGACCTGTTACTATTCTTCCTTTGGCTTCCACTTCACAGAGGCAGTTGAGTCTCTTACATGTCAATTATTTGATGCCTTCTAGACAAGCGTCCCCTTGAAACAGGAAAATAAATGCAATTATTTGACCTAGCATTTTCACAGGCCTCAAATGTAACAGAAAGGAGACTCATTGCTTCTCATGAAAACTGCTTAATTTTGGCTATTTAAAAGCAGGTATAGTCCCACCAATTGAGAAGTAGGTGAGCCCAAAATGTCAAGGTGCTTCCTCATACATGCTCCTTTGCTTCAGCTCCAATGGCTTTTGGTTGTACTGAGTACCTTACAAAGGGTAAAATGGCAAAATTCTCTAGTATCTGGTTTTTGAAGTTAAAGTAATTGGATTTATTTTTTCCCCCTCTTAGGTCTTATTACAGATTACCGGGTAAGTACATCATTAATAATTTGACTTTACGATGTTAAAATGACAAAAGAAGAGCTGTTTTTCTTTCTTTTTTTTTCATGTTTCTCAAAACATCAGCACTTTTCTGCCAAGAAAGCTCAAGCCATGGACAGGCATCACACTTTTGTTGGGCAGTATACAAAGCCTTTTCCAGTTCCTTATGGAAAAAAATAGTAATTCCACCATAATGTGGTAGCTCTTTCAAACAGTAACTTCACTGGAGAATGAGTTTTCAAGCAGTCAGTGTAATGCCTGTTCAGATTTATGTAGCATGGTGAGAAGCCCTAGGATCCCCCATTATCCCATAGTCCTCTGCTGTCCCTTCCTCTTTCCAAAGTTGGTGCCTGATAGCTCACCCAGTGCGAACTGTCAGAGAGTCCCGTGGGGACCCTTCTGCTGACTGTCTTGGCTCTCTCTAAGACTGGTCAAGTGGCATGACCAATTCCTATCAATTCCCAATCCTTTCCAGCAGCTGCAAGCTGACCACTGACTGCCAGCCCCCTTCCCTGACAGGGAAGAGGACAACTTGTCAGTTATCAGGCTCCTTTGGGGACAGGGGGAGCCAAGGAGAACCCCCTGTAGCCCACTGGCTGAAAAGCTTGCCTTTGCAGGGCCTTTTTTGCTCCCCTGTAGGGCTGTGCAAAGCTTTGGTTGTCAATTCAATTTGGAGGAGATTCGAACCAATTCTGCAGCTGAATCTCAGAATCCAAATTAAATTGGGACACCCATTAGAAGGTCCAAATTGAATCCAAAGCCTCTGAATTGATTTGGAAAACATTCAGAGAGATTTAGAGATTCAGATCAACCAGGAAGAGGCAGGCACAGCTGGGCAGCTGCAGGTTCCCCAATGGCTCCTCCAGCTATGCCTGCCTCTCCCTGGGCGAAGCCTTGGGAGAAGCCCCCATCACTGCCCTACGCTATCCCTCACCCGGCCCCATCCTCCTGGGACTTTAAAAAGCTGTGCACTCACCGGCTGCAGCAGCAACAATCGGGGCCTCTGAGGGCTCATGGCAGAGCCCCCCCATGCAGTGCGTGGCAGTGGGGGGCAGCAGGGATAGGCATGGCACAGGTGCAGCATGACTTCTGAGGAGAAGGAGAGGGACCTGGGTTTGTTTAGTCTAGAGAAGAGAAGACTGAAGGCAGGGTTTAATAGCAGCCTTCAACTTCCT